AATATTATTAGCGATAACAGCGCAAACGCAACAGCAGCACCAAAAACAACCAGAGTGACAATATCAACAACATCAACAAACAGCTGGAACAGCAGCTTCCAATTAAAAAAAAAACGGCGATATCAACAGCAACAGCAGCAGCTGCAGCAACAACAATATCAGCAACAGTGACGCACTACCAAATAATTAAAAAAGGGACTCATGAAACCCGTTCACCCTATATCTACACATCCACACACACACACACACACACACACAGACACGCGAGGATACACACACACAAACAGATAATCATACAACAATAAAAATAGTAACAACAAAAAACAACACAGCAGTAGCAGCAACAACAACATTAATTAACAAAAAAATTGAACAAATTAAATTTAAAAAAAATTAATAAATGGGCCTAAATAATTAAAAAGCAAAATTTCAATTTACACATAAACAAACTGGGAAACCAAAAAGCAACCAAGGACAAACGGAATCATCAAATACTAATTTTATTAATAAAATAGTTGTCTTCCATGTGTAACTAATCCGTCAGTGGATACATCATTCTCTTTGATGCCATCTCCATGATGGATAAATGCAACGGATGGTGAACACTTGCTGTTTTTGATGTTAGTCTTCCACTTGTATCGATTTCTACCTCTTGCAGGTCCGCCTTTAACTTTTCTCACCAGTATAATATTTATAATTAATTCTTTTAAACTGGCAACAAATACTTAACTCTTTCAGCCCCATTACGTTGTTAGAATAAATCCCTCTGTCCAAGGAAGTTGACAATTGAGCAGTAAATAGTCAGTCTGAGAGGATTCAGCAAAGATAATATGGGACTTAAGTAGTTCAACTAGTAAATAAATTAGTTACACGGGGCTAAAATAACAACTGCATGTGAATGGATGACGGCAGAAATATGTCAAATGAAAGTTGTGTGCGTTGTTGGTACTGAAAGCATTACTTTCTCAGTGTATGTATGTATGTGTGTGTGTGTGTGTGTGTGTGTGTGTGTGTGTGTGTGTGTGTGTGAGCATATGTGAGTGTGTGTGTATATATGTTTCTTTTAACCCAGGGTTTCATTGTTCTTGACATTTTGCCCACAACGGTGGCTTTTCCAGTTTTAATCCACTTTCATAGTTCTTAAATATCGACACTGTGCCAACAAAGACGCCCTTCCCAGTTTTAAGCCAGCACAGCAGTTGTAACCTCAGCGTTGATGCCACAAGCTCCAACTCCTCTGATAACGCGGCCAAAACCCGATTCTCCCCACTGGGTGCCCCAGGAGTTCTTGATTCTCCAGTAAGGTGATCCAGAAGACGTTTCATCGAAGCCTACCAGCAGCACTGCGTGGTTCAACGATGCAGCGGAGCATATGACGGGTTCCAGAATACCGCCCTCGTAGAACTGGAGATCAGAGGCATCAATGCCGGCCACCAACGGTCCAGTCTAGAGTTGACAATGAAAGGGTATAATAAAAGAAAAAGTAAACTTACATGCTTATTTTAATATATAGATAGGCATACAGACAGACAGACAGACAGACAGACAGACAGACAGACAGACAGACAGACAGACAGACAGACAGACAGACAGACAGACAGACAGACAGACAGACAGACAGACAGACAGACAGACAGACAGACAGACAGACAGACAGACAGACAGACAGACAGACAGACAGACAGACAGATTGAAATATATACAAAGAGACACAGACAAAGAGACATATATAAAGCAAGTTTGTAACCACACACAAAATAAAGAGACTATTATTAACAATTCTGCTAGACTAAGCAGAGATAAAGAATAGGTTAAAATAAAAAAGAGAGCATATTTCTTATTTTTACATAGACATAATACTTCTTCTGCATTCGTCTTTATAGGACGACTAGCACGTTGTGTTGTGATTTACAGCTAGGCTGCGATATCTGGACACATCTAGTGTCAGCAAAGCCTTTATTATTCATCGTTTACCGCATTTAAAGGAAGGGGCTCTGCCTACTACTACAAATGATATCATGGGCAGATGGAAAGAATACTTCTCAGAGCTCCTTGGCGTTGAGGGAAGTCATGACTCAGAAATAATGGACCTCACTGCTGAGAAGGAAATCATCAATGGGGAAGATAACATCAGGATGGAAGAATTGAAGGCAGCTATTGAGAAGATTAAGCTGGGAAAAGCAGCAGGTCATGATGGTATAACACCAGAGATGGTCAAATATATGGGAGTCGAAGGTGAGCGCCTTCTACTGAAGGTTCTGCAGGCAGCCTGGTGTAGCAAAACTATACCAAAAGATTGGGAGATTGCCATTATTATACCTATATTTTAAAAAGGTGATAACAGACAATGTGGAAACCACAGAGGCATATCCCTTCTCAGCGTTCCCGGTAAAAGTTACTCTAGAATTCTTGAGCAGAGACTTAGAAGTCTGGAAGAGCCACAGCTGGACGAGGCCCAATGCGGCTTCAGAGCAAACCGAAGTACTCAAGACCTTATCTTCACACTGAGACAGATGAGTGAAAAAGCCCTGGAATATAAGAGTGAGATGCACTTATGTTTTTTGGATCTCGAAAAGGCATTTGACAAGGTACCCTGGAACAAGCTCTGGGACTGCTTGGCAGGGAAAAATATCCCAGCACCCCTGATCAGTGCAATACAGAGTTTCTACAAAAGGTGCAGAAATTATGTAAGAACAGCAGACCAAAAGTCAGAAGAATTCAAGACCGCCAGCGCTGTTAGACAAGGTGATATTCTCTCACCTTACCTCTTCATTCTTATGATGGATGATGTCATCAAGACCTGTAAGGAGAAGACAAAGAAGTACTCTGTAGGGTACTGGAAGATGACACCAATCTGTATATCAGAGCTGGCTTTTGCAGACGATGTGGCCCTGATAGCCTAATCAGAGGCACACGTTCAGTCCAACTTACTTGTCTGCAAGGAAGAGCTTGAAAAGAAAGGGATGACCATCAGTATCTCCAAAGCTAAAACCATGGTGATCTCAAGAGAGGAGAAGAAACACCAGATCATGATGGGACAGTATGCATTGGAGCAAGTTAACCAGTTTAAATACCTTGGAGTTGTACTAGACCAAAATGGAGGCATTAGGACTGAGTTGGCTACACGAAAAGCAGCTGCTGGGAGACTCTTCCAGGCTATAAACCGAGGGTTTCTTAGCAAAAGAGAAGTTGGCAAGAGGACGAAAATGGCTGTTTACCGCTCTACCTATGTACCAGTCCTGACCTATGGGTGTGAGTCATGGGCAATGATAACAGCTCACAGAAGCCAGCTGCAGGCCTCGGAAATGAGATACCTGAGAAAGGTGGTCCAAGTGACAAGAAGGGACAAAGTCCGCAATTAGACAATACGTCAAGATCTTGATACCCAGCCCTTACTAACCCGAGTAGATCAGTCACAGTTACGATGGTTTGGACATGTATGCAGAATGAGAGAAAATCGGCCACCATGGCAAGCATGGGAGGCTAAGAACCAGGGAACCAGACCTCCAGGACGACCCAGGGTGCGCTGGGAAGACAACATCCGACAGTCCCTAACTGACAGAGGACTGGAATGGAACAAAGCCAGAAAGAAAACTGCTGATAGAGACGTCTGGCCATCTCTCTGGCAAACCTCTGCACCCCAAGGTAGAAGAGGAGCGACTAAGTAAGTGAGTAAGTAAGTAAGTTTACCGCATTCTTGTAAGGAAGCAGCGGGTCCATCCCATCGACCCGCCCTATCCAAGAAGGGAAAGAACACACGCTAGGACAATAATACTATAATTGTAATTGAGTTCTCTCCCCGTTGTCAAATAGATCTCTAAGTTAACACTGAACATCCAGCGGACACAACGTCATAGTCGTATGTTGTGTTAGGATATTTTTGCATGTCTCTTTAGTATACTAGTCGGCTATGTGGCTAATTAGAAACGATTCGTAATGCCGGGATGCCGGGTTCGATCCCAGCGTCGGGCCATGCGCCTTGCGTTGGTTTCAACAGTGGCATCAAGAAAGTTGCCCGTCCAGAAAGAATGGCAAATTACTAGACGTAAACTTGCCTCGAAAAACCACACAACAGCCGGGGGCTGTTGGGATTGGTTTTTCAACCTCCTGTAAAGGATACGCAACTAACCTTAGTATACTAAGTCAGCGTACGGTAATTCTGCCTATTTTTTGCTCCATCGTCATCATCATCATCATCACCATCATCATCATCAAGTGCCTTGCTGGCGATCATGTCGCTCCACAATCTGCAGTCCGCAACTACGTGTGTCAGTTCCTGTGTTGACACTCCTCCATGCCATCACAAAAGACTGTCAAGAATCTTATCGTTGTCTTCTTCTGTCTCTCTTTCCACAAATCTTACCAGTGGTTGCAACATGTTCCGTTTTCCCTCTTCTCATAACATGACCAAAAAAATGATAGCAGGCCAGCAGGATCTGCAGGTTTGACACCGTGGGACTGAAGCATCTCTGTGCTGGTGGCAGACCAACAGGATCTGAAGATTTGACCTGTGAGACTAAAGGATCTCTGTGCTGATGGCAGACCAATAGGACCTAAAGGTTTTAAAATGTGAGACTAAAGCATCGCAATGCTGGTGGCAGACTAACAGGACCTGAAGGTTTGACACCGTGGGACTAAAGCATTTCTGTGCTGATAGCAGACCAGCAGAGCAAGTCCAGATACCTCGTTCAACCTCCGAGGAAGTTATAACTCGGACACCGTAACGGCCACACCAGCTTGATGCAACCTGCATTTCTGTTCGGGTAGGGATGTTATGATCCAGCCATTTAAGATACTATACACATTAAAATGTTTGTTGCGTATCCTTTACAGGACGTTGTAGAACCAGCCCCAGCATTTTGTGGCTATCGTGGTTTTTCTATGCTCATTTACATCCAGTAGTGTGCTATTGCTTTCTGGACGGTCAGCTTCTCGATACCATTGTCGAAACCAAAGTAAGACTCAAGTTCCGCAGCTGGAATCGATCCTGCCACCTCGGCATTACGAAGCATGTTCGCAATGCCTAAACTACGGACGCGGACACTATACATATTAGAAATAAAAAAAACACAAAAGATAACCTGGATCTTTACAGAACTATGATAGTTTGATTACCTAACATTCCCTGTGTGGGTTCCGCGGCACAATTATGGGGAAAACATGAATAGACAAACTGCCTTCCTATCAAGCATATCGTTAGAGTCCACTAACTGGGGACTGGGGACTTCCTTCGATGTCGGAGTGCATCTACCCAAGAGGCAAGGAACAACCAATTGCACACAAGTAAGTCAGTAAAACTAATGTACACACAAAACTCAGGCCCTGGCACAAAGCCGAAGTCCAGATGGACGAACAACCAGGACTTTCCGCCGGAGCTCACAGCTAGTGAACAAAGAAGACGAAGAAGTAGGTGAAAAAAAAAAGGGTGGGGTGATAGGGAGCGAGGAAATGACAGAGAAATCACGTAATCCCCATCGTTATCATATTTTGACATATTCGTTGTCCCCATCATCTCATAACTTATCGCCATTATCAACTAACAACGGAAGCAATATTACAGTAAACAGGCGATATAAAACACACTATCGAAATCTGCTGACACTTTCAAAAGTGATATACAAAATACCATATAACACACCACTCAGCCTGTACAAATACTGTCATTATCACCTACCATCAATAACATCACTATCATGCCACCCTTATCCTCATCGTCACCAAAATTTTATCAATATAATCAAATTTTTTTGTAGTCTACAAAGTAAATATATAATGTTAAGCATCTCATTTATACTATTTTGTTATTGTGTTCGGATACACTCAATATCACCAACACGAACGAACAACAATAAAGTTAAAACAGTGGAGTTGCTAGTGGGTTAGACCGACTGGACGGTAACTTGTTGACTCTTGGTTGATTTTCTTTTAGCTGGTTGGTTTACTGGTTGTGTGCTGATTTCTAACGAATTGTTGGTTGTTAGATAGTAGTTGATTGTCCCCTCAACAAGCTCAGAAAAACAGTATGAACTACAAATGCTTGAACGTTACAACTGTAGGAACATACTAGACTGGAATTAGGCCTGGCGAGGAGCTTCATCACAGGGTGTTTAGGTAAATAAGAGATGCCAACACAATATATATATATATATATATATATATATATATATATATATATATATATATATATACTAAGAGAGATGGACTGAAAGACAGACAGAACAGACAGACAGACAGACAGACAGACAGACAGACAGACAGACAGACAGACAGACAGACAGACAGACAGACAGACAGACAGACAGACAGACAGACAGACAGACAGACAGACAGATAGACACATACTGACAGATAGAAGATAGATAGATAGATAGGAGATAGATAGAGGGATAGATAGA